ACTCCCACCATCTACCAGACCAAAGTGGAATACAACTATCAATGGAAAATATATCATGACTCATATTTCCCAATTCTCATATAACTTGTAAAAATCTGGAGAAAGATTTTGTATAAATGGACTCTTTCATTCACAGACTCTACTTTTGTGAGAGGGAGAAAAAGACAGGTGTCATTTATCATGTCAAAAGTCTTTCTGTGCAGACTAAATTAATAGTTCCTGAACTATAGGCTACATATGTTCTTGAATAACAGCTCCCAGAAGTTCTGGCCAGCATGTGGACTAGCAATACTGCTTTAAGACCTCTCATTCTGCAGGGGCCAAAAATAACAAAAATAACTCAATACCATGGGCTTCTGTGCTGTGTGGTAAACTCTCCTGAGGAGACCAAATTTGTGGGGGAATAACTCAGATGTCCAGTCTTCACCAAAGTTGGCTGGCGTGTTGGGGAAAGACGTAGGAAGCTCTGTTGTGATTCCAGATTCTCTAAGTATCTGGGGGAAGCTTTCCTTGGGGTGTCCTCTTTATGGATATATAACTCAGGGGTCCATTACCCAATGGTCACCAACCTTTTGGGAGTTATAGAAAATCGTCTGAGGAAGCTTCTCTGTACATTTGGTGTCTCTAGGTGCTTAGGGGCCAGTTTTATAGCCATTTAAAGCAAAGATGAATTGACGGATTGATTTGTCAATTCACCGAAGAATATTTGTATATTCATATATGTTGAGTCGTTAACCCTGATGAATCATGAATCAAGACGGATCAACATTTTTTGATTTGTTCCCATCTCTAGTTATGGGTCTTCCAGCAGGACAATGACCCAAAACACACTTCAGAAAGCACCCAGAAATGGTTACAAACAAAGTGCTGGAGAGTTCTGAAATGGCCAGCAGTGAGTCCAGTTCTGAATCCCTTAGAACACCTATGGAGAGATTTAAAAAGTTGGGAGAAGGCATCCGTCAAATAGTGCTTAATTTAGGGAACCGACATCCGAGATTTTACTCATTTTTGAGAGACAGAACAGGAAAGCGCCTTCCGATTGCCTCCTTCACTGTATGGCTTTTATCCAAAACAGTTGAAGGGAGATTCAACCGTAATTCCTTTTTAAGCCTAAAAGAAAACACCAAACGCTTTCTATCAAGGAGAAAGAGTGTTTCAGTCCCAAACTTTATCACCTTCTTTTCTAGTATGATTTCTATTACTGTTTACAGTTGTGTTCAAAATTATTCAGCCCCCACTGAAATTGAATGTTTTGGCCATTTTGACATTGATTTTGATCATTCAGTCATCTTGCTTACATTTACATGAAAGAGGCACTTGTAGGTCAGAGAAATATAACCTTAAGTTTATAATGAAATAACCACAAATGTCTTTTCTGTGCTCACATCATTATTAGTTTTTATTCAACCCCCAAGTGACATTCAATCTTAGTACTTAGTACAACATCCTTTTACAGTTATAACAGCTTTTAAACGTGAAGCATAGCTTGACACAAGTGTCTTGCAGCGATCTACGGGTATCTTCGCCCATTCTTCATGGGCAAAAGCCTCCAGTTCAGTCAAATTCTTAGGCTTGCGCACTGCAACTGCTTTCTTTAAGTCCCACCAGAGGTTCTCAATCGGATTTAAGTCTGGTGACTGCGATGGCCACTCCAAAATGTTCCAGCCTTTCCTCTGCAACCATGCTCTAGTGGACTTGGAGGTATGCTTGGGATCATTGTCCTGTTGAAAGGTCCAACGTCTCCCAAGCCTCAGGTGTGTGACGGACTGCATCACATTTTCATCCAATATCTCCTGGTACTGAAGAGAATTCATGGTACCTTGTACACGCTGAAGCTTCCCTGTACCTGCAGAAGCAAAACAGCCCCAAAGCATTATTGACCCTCCGCCATGCTTCACAGTAGGCAAGGTGTTCTTTTCGTCATATGCCTTGTTCTTCCTCCTCCAAACATAGCGTTGATCCATGGGCCCAAACAGTTCTAATTTTGTTTCATCAGTCCACAGAACACTATCCCACAACTTTTGTGGTTTGCCCACATGACTTTTGGCATACTGCAGTCGACTCTTCTTATTCTTGGGAGACAGCAAGGGGGTGCGCCTGGGGGTTCTGGCATGGAGACCTTCATTACGCAGTGTGCGCCTTATTGTCTGAGCTGAAACTTCTATACCCACATCTGACAAATCTTTTTTCAGTTCCTCAGCAGTCACACGGGGACTTTTCACCACTCTACGCTTTAGGTAGCGCACAGCAGTCGAAGTCAGCATCTTCTTTCTTCCACGACCAGGTAGCATTTCAACAGTGCCCTTTGCCTTGAATTTGTGAATGATGCTTCCTATGGTGTCTCTTGGTATGTTTAACTTCTTTGCAATCTTCTTATAGCCATTGCCCTTCCTGTGAAGACAAATCACCTCTTCTCTTGTGTTCCTGGACCATTCTCTTGACTTCACCATGTTTGTAACCACACCAGTAAATGTCTAGAAGGAGCTGAGTATCACAGTCATTTTAAAGCTGCCTAATTGGTGGTTATTATGCTTGATTGGTGCTCGGTGACATCCACAGGTGTTTTCAATACCTGATCGAAAACACCTGAATGAACCTCTCTTCTTCAGAGAGGTAGTCTTTAAGGGGTTGAATAATTGTGGCAATGAAGAAACCACAAAAGAAACATTTACTACTGTATTACATAAACAATTGATGTTATTTTAGTTGCATTTGGTTCTTTAAAATGTCCTTGTAGGATTTCATTCTGAATACAATTCCAAATGTACACTATAGTCCCTAAACCCCTTTACAGCATTGGGGGCTGAATAATTTTGAACACAAATGTGCCAATGCAAGCCAAAGAAATGGACATGTGAGTACCAAAAGTTTTTCAACTGCAACAATTTTCTGAGAGAAGGGTTGCATTTTCTCACAGAATTGCAAGGGTGACAGTATTTTTGGCCATGACTGTAAGTCACTTTTAGAGACATTTTGACAGGACGTTTTAAGCTCTTATCAATCCCAAGTAGAAAAGAAAGCACCCCCTTTTTGTGTTTTTTTTTTCCTAAAATGTTTTCAAAGTGCTTTGTCTGAACTATTATGAGAGAGTATTTCCCTGTGATTTTCTGGTGTGCCTGTGAGAACAATATTGTGCATTATTAACATTGGATTGTGTTTGTAGTAACAATAATGGCCATCTGAATTGCTGAAAATATTGAGCAGTGCACTAAGTTCCTTTTAAAAAAAAAAGCTTCAAGCTCTACATTTGTTTTACATCTTAGCCACTTTGAAACTCATATAATATGGAGGGATTTAATTGTTAAAATGAATATTCAAATGATAAATATAAGCTGATCATTCATTACTCAAGACATGAGCATTTTTCTTTCCCATCACTTTCCAATGTTCAGAACTATGAACGGAGAAGGAATTGTACACCTTGACCTTGACACTGGAACCTGGTGCCATAGACTGATGAAACTATGACTTATGTCTTATTGATAGTATTATAGGATCTTGAATTGAGTAGAATTTTTATGGTGCTGTTTTATGAAATATTGCCCTGGACCTTGTACTTGCCACACTTCTCACCTGTTACAGTGTAGATAGTAGGAATGATATATATTTTGTTATTTTCTTCTTGTAATTATCAGGGTGAACATAACTTTAAATCACTAGTGCATTAAAGATTAGCTTTCTTTACTTACAAGTTATAGATTTTTTCTCCAGTTTCCTTTTTCTGTGTTTTCTTAATTATCTTTTCTTTCTCTGTGATTGTTTTTTGAAAGTGGCTTGAGACATGAATTAATAACTAAACTATTATGAGTGGACAGTGCAATGCAAACTTAAAGATATATCAGCTGCAGTAGATTTGGAAGGGGCAGAGGCCCTTTGTGTCAGCACGACTGCCCTTGTGCTTGGCTGATCCTGCTGGCATATCTGCTATGCTGCCGTGATCAGCTGGCAAAAGAGGCAGAAAAGAGGTGGAGTGGAGGAGGAACTGAGTTATAGTCTTGATCCAAACTTGACTCAGACCAGACTCACAGCCACTGCACCAGCACAAAGTTAGTCCAGGGTCAGGATAGTTCTCATTAATTTCCAGCTGAGAAATCTGAGATTTCTTCTGTGAGAGGGGCTTGGATTCAGCATAGCCTCAGCTAGCTTAATGTCAGCATAGCTATTGGTTAGTACTCTGCCCTAAATCCAGTTAGTCTCAGCTGAAGCAGGCCCACTGAAACACTGCTTACTTTGCGTTCATTTAGCCAGTTCATTCATCCCATGGGTCTGCTCTAAATGGGCTGTGAAGCAGGCCCACTGAAACACTGCTTACTGTTGCGTTCATTTAGCAAGTCTCATTCATCCCATGGGTTTACTCTAAATGGGCTGAACAGTTCGTTCGTTCGTTCGTTCGTTCATTCATTCATTCATTCATTCATTCATTCATTCATTCATTCATTCAAGACCTCACTATGTGACCTTCAAACAAAACCTTAGGTGTTTCCTCCAAATTAAATCCAGTCCTTAAAAACTGGTAATAGAATCTGAGATTTCTTCTATGCATTAGGGCTGTAAATTCACAACAGTTACCAAAAGGTGGCTAGTTCAAATTGATTCAGTTAGGCTGGACAGTTATTACAGAAGCACAGACTTATATTAAGAATGTAGACCTGTCTTTTGATCTGTGGGACTTCCTGATGCCGGGTTCTGTATGTTAGGCTTCAGAGTACAACATGTTATGTCAAGGTGACAATTTTTGCAGGATTCTCGCAGGCTAGGTACTTTGCAAAAAAACTTTCCACCATACTGTCAAGATATAACAGACTCCTTGTTTTTTCAAAGATAAGCAAGATAACAGGCCATCCATAATTCTCCAAACTCATGTTGCCCATTCAAAATCCTTATATTTTAATCTTATAACTTGCTTAAATGATCTGTTTTTTTCTTTACATTCTGTACTTTTGTGGAATGTACGTGTGCTTATGATGCTTATGAAATACTGATTCTTCACCTTTCTTTAGATTATAGATGAAGAAGAGACACAGTTCATGAGCAACTGTCCTGTAGCTGTGACTGAGAGCACACCAAGGAGGAGGACACGCATTCAGGTGTTTTGGACAGCACCTTCTTCAGGCACAGGTTGTGTAATTTTGAAGTAAGTAATTTTATAGCTCAACTATATGGTTGCCACACACTATACTTTATGATACTGTGGTGGTTTATTTGCTTTGCTTTGTTTTCTTTCCCAGCAATGTGTTAATTGTGTGGCACTATTGTGTTTCTCTGTAGGAGGGTCACCCCTCCACCTAAATAAGAGGCAATAAAACTTTAAAAGGCCAAGAGACATCTTGTAGTTTTATTGCCTCCAGCTCTTCTTCCTGCAGTTCTATTTAGCTTAATAGTCTAGAACAAGGGCTGGAATGGATTAAGAGGCAATCAAGGTTTTCTGAAGCCAAGGAACAGACTTCCCAGAAGCTCATCATACATCTTGAACTGATTTCTGAAAATGCTAGGCTGGTTCACACTTGATGACATGTGATCTTTATTTTACACTTCCTCTTTTCCTCCCTGCCCAGACACAGACACACACTGCTTTGTTTCTGGATTTGTCATCTGCACACAGGTATTCCTGTGCATACCTGGCTCACATACTCTTAGGCCAGCCATCTTGGGTGTGTGTGTGGGGGGGTTGTTTTTTGCTTGTTTGTTTGTTTTCAGTTGGTAGCCCACAAAGAGCCTACTGAAAGAGAGATTGATTACTAGAGTTTGTTTTTTGCTTGTTTGTTTGTTTGTTTTCAGTTGGTAGCTCACAAAGAGCCTACTGATTGATTACTAGAGCTTTAAATTTCTGGTAAAATTCCCCTTTTACTATGCAGTAGAAGTACAGCAATTCACAGGGGAGAATAGCTTCATGTTCTCCACAATCCTCTCCTTTCTCATTAACTGGCATTTAAAGTCTCAGTAACTCACTCTGAAACATTTGTACAAAAAAGAATAAAAAATCTGTACTTAAAGTTACTTGAAATTACAAAATTGTGCATACTGTTTTCTTTACTGCACACATATAAATTGGATCCATCTTGACAACACATAAGACACACAACTCACATGGAACAGATGTAAGTGCTTATTTGCACAGTTTTCCTACACATAGTGCAGACATTAGCAACCTGATACTGCTGCTCAAATATATATACTTTCTAGTAAATTGTTTGAAAATTTTGTAGACTCTGTCTTGCTAATTTACAGTAAAGGAAGTTGGTCACTGCTCACATGGAGAGGGGTCACCTAATCTGTGTTCTTGGATGTTCCCACTTTGACTAGAACCCCAGTCTATGAGCACCTACTCACATGCAAGAGGTCCTTTGTAGATAACTGTATTCCATGCATAGATATCAGAGGGTGGGGATTTTGCAGGGAGGCAATATAAAGATGATAATGCCAGAGAGCTTCATCAAAGAGCTGGTACATGCATAAGTCATAAACAAAAGGCCTAGCATGTGAAGGTCTTTTTTAAAAAAATGTGTTTCATAGGATATGGTACCCTTCATGGATTCATGCATTAATGTGGTGAGATGGTTTGAGTGTGTCAGGGAAACTGAGAGCAATATAGTTAGAAAGCGAGGCTCCACTACAAGTTTAGACCCCCAGAAGTATCACTTAGGGTGAAAGCTGAGACATCAGAATAAGATACACCTCCCCTCTTCAGGATTATGAATCACATCAGTGGAAGAGAAATGATAGTGTCAATGGTGACAGAGGTGGAGAAATTCTTAAATGATAACTACAGAGTAGCAGCAGTACTAGAAAGTGACACCGGTGGAGAATCTTTCATAAATGATGGCACTGACACCCACACTAGCTCTTATTAGGGGAATTAGCAGGAGAGGGCAGTGGACAATTGTGCAAATGGAGATCCCCAGCTCACTGATATAGAAATCTCTGTATGATTGGACTTAGAAGACAGAAAAGCTCTATTCTATCTGCAAAAAGAAAAACAGGAGCTGTTAATACAGCCCATGAACTGTTAGTATAAAAATTAGAGTAAAGAGCATTCCTTTCTAAGAGAAAGGTGATATATAAATATTTTAAATAAATTAAATAAATTAAAAAAACCAAATGTTGTTCCTAAATATAACATTAAGCGCATTCCTGATGAATTTAAATATAATGTAAAGAAGATATTTCCATTACTAAATTCAACTGACAGTAAAACAAAAGTATGCACTAAAACAAGAGACGTTATAAGGGCTGAATGCAAAAAGACTTGGGGAAAAGCCTGAGTAAATTACTATTGAATCACAATAGGCAGCAAATAAAAGTCAAAAGTGAAATAAATACGGTCAGAATCCCAAATGCAATTTTTCATGGACTTGTACATAGGAAGAAAGATAACTATTATAAGAATCAGTATCAAAACTGTGTGTGAAAGAGAAAGAAAGAAAGAAAGAAAGAAAGAAAGAAAGAAAGAACATCATAAAAGGAAACATCCAAGATGTTAATGCTCCATAGCATCAAAAAACCAAAGGGAAATTGAATCAAAGATTAAGGGTGCTGAAAGATCAACAAGGAAATATATTGTACGATCAAGATAAAAGAGATGCTGGAAAACATGCTGAAGAACCATACAGAACAGATGCAAGAGTGACAGACTCCTTCAGAGAAAAATCCTTTGATGAAGAACCTGTATTTTTTGAAAGTGAACTAAAAGTCGCTCTCTCTCGCTTCCTCTCCCAAAAACAGGGAACATGTAAATCATGAGGAGCAGATGGGATGCTGATAGGGCTATTTTAAGTTATGCAGGGTGAATCTATCAAAATCCTAAGAAGACTATTCCAATAAATATAGGAAACAAAACCATGGCCCTCAGATATTCCCATCCCCAAGAAGATAGATGTCAAAGATGTGTAACCAAAATTATCTGAACAAGAACCAATGAACTGAAGAAACACCTGCTTCATCAAGGATAACTGTCACATATCATTGATTCTAACATCAAGAGAGCAGCTGCCTTGTCAAGGGGGAGGGGAGATTTCCATGTGAAGTGATATAAATCAGTGAACACCACATATTCATTTCCATCCAGCACCTCCAAACAACAACAAATTTGAGAAAGCTAGCCATGGCGAGCCAACTCAGAATGTCTTGCAAAAAGCTAACAGGAAGCCTCCTGTGAAAGCTTTCCAGCTGCCTCCACATCTGAGAGGATTAATTTTAAAAATCTTCTCAAACCACCAGTCAGCATCTGGGATTAGACTCTTGTGATTCCAAGTGCCGCATCTCATGTATGTATCTTAGGAACACAGTCGCCTGTAAGAGGACTATGACTGTCAGCATTTACTATGTTAAATGTAACATCAGCTGTAGTTCCTGCTATATTTCAGAGCCTGAAATCTTGCATAGTAACTTGCATTGCAGTAAGCCCATTAAATCAGTAGAGATTTGGTGAGTCAGCTCCTCCATTGACCCAAATGGGCCTACTCTAGTTCACTTACTACACTGGCAACAGGATTTTAGCCACAGCACACAGCCACAATCCAGCAAGAATGCATCTGTTGAGGAGAGTTGCTAATGTTTTTTATGAAAGGAATATGGTTATCTAGAATCAGAGACACACAGGTTCTTGGGTATGCTGACTAGTGCAGTAGCCATTCAGTATCAAATATCTGCTGCTCAGTTTAGCTGTGCCTCTGAATGCAGGGGGGCACTTTACTTCTTCCAGTGAAGTGAATGAGCCTCTACAATGGAAGCTAAATAGAGCTGATCAGTTTAGCAAGCTTTTATTTCACAGCTTCTCTAATTAAATAAAGAGGAGGGCACCTATGCAACACTTGAGAACCTCTCCCCCTTGATAAATCTCATTAGTTTTTGTTCTTCTCAGAATAACCCCGGCCAAGAGCTGATGTCTCGTGGAACAGTTAGAAGAACATACTTCTCATATCCTATGTGAATGGTTTCTCCTTTAAGCTGGCCCTAGAGCAGCCATAAATGCAACCATTGCATGCCAGCACAACGTTCTCGCAGGTTACAGATCTCTGACATTCTAATACTGTATGTACAACTGAGCATGAATGAGAAATCTTGGCTGCATGGAATACTGCATGAAGAAGTTCTTCTTATAGTGGGGTCTTGACTTGAGAACTTAATCCGTATTGGAAGGCGGTTCTCAAGTCAAAAAGTTTGCAGGTCAAGTCTGCATTTCCCATAGGAATGCATTGAAAACCATTTGATCCGTATCTGCTCTTTTCCGTCCATAGAAACTAATGGGAAGCTGCTATTCTGCCTTCGACCACTAGAGGGGGATATTTTGTTTCTTTTTTTCTTAGGTCAAGAAAGGTTCAGGGAAGGCAGGGAAAATACAGTCCAGGCAGTACAGTCCCAGGCAGTCTGAAGACTGTCTCCCAATCCACTCTCTAAACGCTGGGAGGAGTGAGGAAGCAGACAGGCACCCTTTTCATTGGCCAACAGTTAAGTGAAAGTTCAAATTTTGTACTTTCCCTGCCTCCCACGTAGTTTTTTCAGTTTTTTTTTCAGTTCGTAACTCACATCTAAGTATGTAAGGCAAGTCAGTATTTTCCTATGAGAGCGGTTCGTAAGTCAAAATGTTCGTAACTTGGGCCGTTCGTAAGTCAAGACCCCACTGTACAAGCCTGGTGTCACATTAAAATCAGCTTCGGATATTTCACCTGTGGAAGAACGTCCAACTCTGCTTTGAGTTTTACTTCACATTTCAAGAGCAATTCAAGTTATTCTCATCTACAAAGTGAACTGATTTCTCTAGAGAGCTTTGCAAAAATCACATTCACAACCCTGGAGTGATTTCCTTAAAGTGAGGCCAAGATTTCTCATTCATGCTCAGTTGTACAATCCTTAAGATAAGCTTAGAAATCAGACAATTTATTTTTGGGGATTGCAGGCACCATAATGGGGGGTTCTGGAATATGTAGTCCAAAGAAGTAGCATTTCAAAGCTCTGGGGATCTGGCATAATGTGAATTAGGAAACCTGTAGTTGCTGATAAAACACCAGTTTTGTTACCAGGAAGAGTGATGAATATAATTCTAAGCAATGAACCCCTGTAAAACTCAAATAGCTGCCTTCATTGGCACTTGCTAGAGACACTGTTTAATATTATGATGCTCCACCACGTAGGGGT